TTAACTGTGCGTCTACAGTGTATGCATACATTTTTGCACGAAGGCCTACAAATTCTAACATGATTTTTCCGTTGTTTTCATCCTTCATTAATCCCGGTACCTTTTTATTAACCTGAGGAATGTTATAAGGATTGTTAACATCATAATCAGAGGTGTCAAACCTATAAATGCTCTCCCTAATACACTCATATATATTGGGCACAAAGAAATGGTATATCAAGCTATCTGTATCTGTATATAGGAGTTTGGCGTGCTTCTGAAACTTTGGCAATATATAATTATAATGGAAATCATATAAAAATATTTTTGATATATCTAAAACTGAAAATCCTGCATATATAGGCTTATTTAACTGTATTTCTAACCTATTCATCTCGATTAATACCATGTTGTTATCGATTATTGTACAACTATGAAAATTGGGTTTGGATATGTACGAACGCACTCCATAGCGACCGCCCCACTTAGTAACTAATTTCACATCCTTATATTTACGTACATTCTCCATTAATTTGCCAAATACATTATTTACCATTGATTTGTAAAAGGTTTTATCAAACTCATTTTTTGATTTCTGCCGCATGTACGTATTTAGATCAATATATTTCTTTAGCCATGGTGATTGTTTGAAAGATAACACTCTATGCACCTTAACTAATTTTAAACCATGTTCTAAGTACATCTTTAGATTACGGTAATGTATAATGTAATTTCTTTTTGCATATAACGTTAACATTAATTTGTTTAATTTTGATTGTGACTGAGGAGGAATCATATGTTCTGGTGCCATAGGTAGATCGCTATGGGTTTCGTGGAGATGTTGAGGATAGTCTAAATCACATTCTAAAATATAACCAATATCTGCATCATCCGGATGATTGAGTATATCGTTAATATTAAAATCATTTAAAAATTGAAACTCGTCATATGGTAAATTTTGAGACATCCCGGCACCATATAAATTGTTTACATCATAATACATTAAATATGACGTTTCGACATTTGAATCATATTTCTCACCCATATAAATATTGTTTGCCTTTCCATATCTATTTGAACATTGGGTTATACCACCTCGAATTCCTCGTTCAATGAACATTACCTGATCTATATCAGATAAAAGTTTTAACTTAATGCCCGTAAGTTTTAACATCGCATCGAAAGCTAACCCTGGAGAGGTAAAATATCTAGATGGATCCAGCTTATATGTTTCCATGCAAGTTTCTCTAAAATTCTCAAAGATATCGGCCAAAAGTAAAACATCTGTTTTTAAATATAAATCTGAATACTCTCCTAAATTTCTAATATTGAATGAACTCCACACCTTATTTGCATGATCATATTCTTCGTCGCTAATACCATCATTATTTAAACGACTAAAAAAATCATCTTTTGACGGTAACATTGTTTCATTGAGTTTTGCCCAACTGTCAAGATATTCATAGGGAAAAACACCTTTTCTTGTTAATAAATGAAATTCAGTATCATTATTACAGTGAAATTTGGTAATTGTCTTTTTATGATCTTCTAAATATGATGACAGTTTATCAATGCTACTGTTCATAAACCTAAACGAATCAATAAATCTAAATTTAATGTTGGTATTACTGACATCTTTCGTGAATGAAATGTATTTTTCCTTGTTTAATGGCAATAAACTAATATTCCCAGGAAAATCAGCAGCTAAACTTTTTATAATAAAATGTGCATCATATCCGCTCAGATTGTGAAAAATTACTGGGATAATGGGTAAATCTTTAAAATTAAGGTTGCACGAATTATGTGAAGCGCCGTTGAAGTTTCCGGTTCGATGACAATGTTCCATAACTTCCCATCATCATCGTCTTTCAAAAAGGGTTTATTACATATATAACACATGGAAGCGTTTTCAAAATCGTAGATTTCCGTTTGAGTAAGACTTCTCATTGGAACTATATAATTAAATATCTGCGAAGTTTTATTTGCAATATTTAACAACTCTGAACTAAACCATTGAATGCAATCTTGACCTCTATATAAAGAAAAATTTGACAGCGAATTATCATAGTCACACTTTAAATAATATGCAATACTAAAGGGTGTATGTTTTTGATAATATTCTGTACTATTATGCATATCAGCATTGTCACATTTTTCTAGAATACATTCCAAATCTGCGTAGATTACAAAAGGAGCTTTTTTTTGATATGAAAAATGTTTAAATTCTAAATATTGATTATTATCTGTAGGCAAGATCACTTGACAGGAATTTATCTGATTACAGTAATGTTTATGCTTTTCAAGATGCGAACTAGAAGAAAAATGATTTAAGCATCTATTACAAATATATTTTGTACCGTTATGTTGAGACTGTTGTTTGGAAAACAGTGCCGACATTTTTTTTATCCATGCAAAATGATAAAAAGGTACTCCGTTATTAATGCCTACAAATATTGCCAATAGATTTATAGGTTCTCTGTCACATGTAAGGTTTTCACTAAGTAGGAATGGAAGCACCTGTTTACCTTCAATGCAATAAACGTTAATTGCCAGATTATTCAGTTTTTCAAATTTCTTTACGTCGCAAAATTTTATTGGGAACTCGATCGTATCATAATTTAAAACTGTACTGAAATGTGGATATTGCTACCGGATATATAGCTGCCATTATCGCCCAAAGAAAGCAATATTCATCATTGTTTCGCACATTGATGACTGCATGTTTAGTTGCTATAAATTTGGGAAGCTCAACAAATGTTGAAAATCCTCCACCATTCAAAGGAATATATGAATTAATATTAACCTTAAAATAAAGCACTTCATGTAAAGCCCAACCTGAATTTCTACCTGCAAATTCACTTAGCTTTACAGTCAATTTATCTAATACTTTTTCTTTATACCATTCTTTAAGGTTGACACCTCCGTCAATAATGCTATTTGGTGTTGCAAAGGTTTTTAAATCGATTTCCAGAGATGTAGGATGAAGAAAATTACACGCTAGATAAGCGTTAACCTTTAGCATAGATTTTTTTAACATAACCTTAATTTTTCGCGAAAAACAATTGTATGCATCCTGTAGAAAAACTAAAGGATCCTTTACATCTATATTAGAAATAATACCTGTTATTAATCTATTTTTGAACCCACTTTCAACCGTTTTCCACGTCAGTTTACATTTATCAGTATTACTACCACTACTAGTACTAGCTTTAATCCCTGCACCAACTTTTTTAGTAAAATTGTTTTTCATCCTTTTAAACTTTGTCAAGTAACATCGCAAAATGGCCAAATTATTCTCCAACTTACTTAAATTCTCATTACGAAACGCATCCTTTTCCTTAATTGAACTTTCCACTAACTTGATGTTTTTTCGAATAATACCAATATGTGTAGTGATTTCAGCTTTAGTTTTCAAAATTGTCGCTAGTTTCCTGGTCTGCTTTACTATTTCAGTGCTCATTTTAGAGACGCTTTCCATTTTGACTGAAATTACAATTTGTTTATCATGATATTATTGTCATAAATGGAATAAAACATACCTGATTGGATTTCAATAACAACAACCGCTATTGGTTTTACAAATTTAATTGTGTGTCGTAGTTTGTTGATAAGTAGAACTCGACTGGTTTCCATGCAATTTCTAATAACTATATATATAAAACCGCAATATCTAAAAATAAATCTCAACCGCAAACGACTACTACTAAGTTATACATTTTATGAAGTACGCCGCTTGTGTTACTAAGCATGATTCTAAAATTAGAAATTTGTTTTTACCTACCTACCCCTTATCTACAACCCCCCTAAAAGACATCTACTACCCCTACACACATATACAACCCCGAAAAAAACACCGCAATCAAGTACGCCGCTTTTGTGTTACTAAGCATGATTCTAAAATTAGAAATTTGTTTTTACCTACTACCCCTTAACACACAACCCCCCTAAAACACATCCACTACCCCTACACACATATACAACCCCTCAAACCTCGAAAAAAACACCGCTATCAAGACCGATCCAAAAAGTGAGTTTTTGTCACTGAAATGAACCCATACTTTAGCATTGCGCTTATGGAGATTTACATTGTGCCAGAACTCTCCTTGTTTAACTACTCAAATTTTTGATAATAACAGCAATTCTGGCCAAATTCTTTAATCTATCTTCGCCTATGATTTCCTCTAGGGATATTCCTATTCGTTTGAATTGATAGCATGATTTATGTGTAAGTAGGTATACACAGAGAGATAAGTTCAGAATGTGCATACTACGTATCGACAAATTGTGCGCAATACCTACACCAAAAGAATCGATAATATTTATAAGTAAAGAGGGAACACAAACATAAAATTTGATAAACCCTTGCAAAAAAGAATTCTATATTCCCACGATTAGGAAAATAACAGAATTATCGCGATTAATCTCTAAATATAGCACATCTTTATCAGTCATGTCTCTTTCACTACGACAAAACTGGCGTGCCTTGCCAATTTGTTGACATAATATTTTGTTAACAATGCCCCGAAACTTACCAACAGACACACATTAAAGCAGCCACAAGATGAGTTTTAACTCCAGCCGTGGGCTTCACTATGGTTGGAACAAAGTGACCACAATACGGACAAGCCAAAATTTGGGCGTCCGGACCAAAATTTGAAAGTACTGTGGCATGGGCGGTGATTGCAACAATCTTTTCTAAAAATATAAGTGGCGTCACTCGGAACTAGCAACATGGGTACGAAAAATCAGTCATACCTTTTTCAAGCTTCTTCTGGCCGTTTTCTTTTTCCATTATTTTTGCACGCTTCTAGTTTCAACAAAAAACAACTGTGATGCGCCTATGGGTACAATTAAAATTAGTGGAAAATGATAGGTCAACATCCGCCGTTTGGTTTTATCTAATGGTTATCGTACTTCTTTAGTTTACCACAAACATGCATTTATCAAAATACATACGTACACGTATACGTGCCGTTGCTTAAACAGCGCTTAAATACGACCAATTATCAAATGATAAAGATTGTGTCTGAGTACACAAAATGAACGTTATCTGAAAAATATCTGAACTTGTACTTGTAAAGTATGAAGTTTAATTTGCCTCGGCCGAGTAATTGGATGGTTCATTTATCGCAGTGATAACCGAATGATTTAGCGCAAATAACGTAACTATAAACTCAATGCATCGAATCTATACACCCAAGTTTATTTCAGCGTCCTGTTAAACAAATTAATGACTTTTTACTTTGTCAAAGTTCCGTACCTAAAGCTTTTTCGCATTACATTTGAATAGAAACATCAAGTCAAGGACTATACCGTAGGTACTTCTTTAGTTCTAAAGAATTAATTTTTGGAATGCAAATGCAAAATTTTGCATATATGTAGGTATTCATCCAGTAGTGCATAGGTAGAAAAGTTTACACTATACTTGTAGAATTGTTTTTGCTGTTCCTACCCCCTGGATATCAATTAATGGAATCAATTGACCTGTAAACACCATTATTCGATTGGGAAAAGATGGGATAACCACAGCGATTTTCCTGCATTATGTAATGTATCTACTCGTAGTGCAAACAAGATGTCGGAGGCAAAGCCCAAAGTTTCAAAATGGCTGATATTTTTCAAAATGATTAAGTTGTAATGTATATTAAACATGAAGGCATTGTTTATTGTTCACATTTATTCTTGCATTTGCACAATAATGTGCACGATAAACCATAGTTACATTTACAAAATCAAAAGTTTTGAGTCTATAACTATTTATTACAATCATTCAAATCCTAATTGTCTTAATCACTTCACCTATGATCCCCCTTCGCCGACCTTTGTAGCTGTACTGGCCCCTAATAATATAGCAATCAAACAATCAGAGACTGGCCTCCGAAACTTGGTCAAGTATATGAACTCGCTCCTTTCTCAAAGTCTCTTCACAGCAGAAAGGATGCATCATGGCAGAAAATCGATGCTGTATCGCGATACATTCTTTCCTATCGTGGGTGAAGACGTAGCCTTTCTTCGGTACCAGAAAATGCAATGTCATTTGATGATGGGTTTCTGTTGCATAGGGTTGTTTGGGTGAAGTTGGGCCATAACGGCTTGAAAAAAATGTTTGAAATTATGACGATTTCTACCTCAGGACTTTACAAAAACAATCAGCCATGTAACGATAACTAACACTTTTGTATAGCTCTCAGTCTATAAGGGCATGCGTGCTACTGTCACTGTCCATACCCATAAAATGAATACAGGACGGTGTCAAATTATCTAGTCCGAGTAGAACCGTATGCCTTTGAATACCTGTGCATTTGAGGAAAGAAACCGTCGAATCCCAAAAGGGCATACATGATACTGTGATGCCAAAATGAAATAATTTTCAACACTTTTAAGGGCGTATGCAAATCCTTATGCCGTACGTTCGATGAGTTTGTAGAAGATGTAAGTGCTCAAGGTTTTAAGTAGTGTTATATTATCTCTATGTTAAGTTATGTCAATGTTTTCTTTCCCCTTTTTCTTTCTTTTTTCTTCATTTTGTGATATGTTCTAACACAATATTATATTGTCAACAGGAAACAATAAAAGTTATAGTTATGAGTTATGATTATGCCTAATGCCGATCATTTTACGCTGAATTTTTTTACGAAATTACGTTTGGTACGATCAGCATTGCAATAAACAATTAATTATTCTTTCACATGTACCAATTAAGGGGAAAAAGGTATTTCACTAGATCGTTACCAAAATTCGGAAGGGCATACGTTATACTGCCATTTTTTGGCAGCCAAGGAATGTGGAGAAGGTCGCGCAAGGGAGAATATTGATGTATATATATATATAAATATATATAAATTATATTACACGTGCAAATGAACAACAGAGATATACAAGAGTTATACAAGAGATATAAGTAATAGGAGTAATGAAAGAAAAAAAATAAAATAAAATAAAAAATAAAAATAATAAGTAATAATTATCTTGGAGAATTATTGAGCTTAGTAATGAGTTGGCGAAGTATTTCCGGTAGAGAGGTATATTGTATATCACAATCCTGGCAGACCATATTAAAATTGCGAGACATGATTAATGTAGGAACGTTTAAGGAAAGTTTCCATTGTCACAAAATCAAATATAAAAATCCGATACAACTGAATACCGAACGATCCTGGAGTGAAACTTTTTGACTCGATAGTCTACGTAACTTAAAAACAATAGGGACCTTTCTTATATCCTTAAGACCATGTGTACCAATTTTCAAAGCGATCGCACGTTTTTAAACAAACTATCATGCACACGGACAAACGGATGATTAATAAAGGATCTGTTCCAAAATCGCTAGGATTAATTTCAGAAAGGCGAACGTATCATGTGCACGACGCTTTGAAAACTGGTACACGTATTTTTAAGGATATAACTGGTATAAGAAAGGTCCTGGTAGGTACCTCCTATATAATAATATAATAATAATATTACGCTTTTACTCCCCTTAAATTTGTATATAACAATAGATATATAAAAAAAGCTAACCCCGTACAAAGTACAACTTGATTTTTTAGTAGTATTAAGACTTTTATCTAGTATACTATTTTAAATTTTTAATGTATTTGAGTGACAAGTATTCGAATACTTTTCAAAGTATTCGAATACTTTTTATAGTATTCGAATACCTTTGATAGTATTAGAATACCTTTGAAAGTATTCGAATACATTCTAAAGTATTTGAATACTTATTTTTTTAAGTATTTGAATACTTTTCAATGTATCTGTATCTAGTATTCGCTTGTACTGGACGTAAAAGTATTTAGTATTCAAATACCTTTGATTTGTGTAAAGTATTTACTATTTAGTATTCAAATACTTTTTGAAAGTATTCTGCCCAGGTCTGTAATACAAACTAGTAAAGTCGATTTTCTAAGCATTACTTAGAAATACATATAGGTTTGGTTTAACCATTTCCCTGCTTTGAGACATTCGTGAAGTTAGCCCCACGAGAACGCATTATGGACTCTAAATAGTAATAAAGTAACTTACAAATTAGTAAGTACGATACGACTTACTAATTCCTATTTAGAAATACAAACAAATTTAACCATTTCTTTCTCACTAATTATTATTAATGCAATCAAATTGTTGATATTCCAATGTAGATGGAGTGCCCCAGAATTGGGAAATTCACTTGTAAAGTCAGATGTTTACTTCATTAATACTTTCTCTAATAACATATTACTTCGAGTAATTCGTAAACATCAAATTAAAGCTTAATTTGAAATCTTGGAGCATGTAGTATATTTATGGACATACTTAAATTTAAGTTTGCGCCATTGTGATTGGGTTACAAAAAATGATATAGTGCTTTCAAATTAATACGTACGACTTACTAATTACTGCTTAAAGATGCAAACAATTTCAACCGTTCCTCTACGTTCTGCGACATTCGTGAAGTTAGCCCCCAGAGCGTATTTTGGACTTTAAGTTCTAGTAAACTGACTTACAAATTTTGAAATGATGATTACAAATTGTTACATATCACTTACTAAACATTGGTTAAAAAACAAAAATATTGTTCTTCAAAGTAGGGCGGCTCCCGAAAAGATAGCCGCACAAATTTTTTTTGAAATTTAAAAAGATACCGTTTCATTGCAAATTTTGGCAACTTGATTACAAATTCTTACAAATGACTTACTAATTAATGACGGTACTAAAATTTTGATAATGGAAGATAATGGGGCTGCCGAGAATTTAGCCGCAAAATTGTATTTTTTTATATAAATTCACAAATTCACTTAGATTCTTAGCTTACAAATACTTACTAATAACTTACTAATTAGTAAGCGACAAATTGAATATAAATTCGGAATTTGAGGGGCTAACTTCGCGGACCTCTAGTCAAATGCTCAATTATGCAACGAAACAACTCTCGAAGTAATCAGACACAAACTCAAGTTCGTATAAAAAACATAATAAGTCACAGATTAAGCGAAATTTGGATTTGAATTTTTTATAACTCCGCAAGGCGTTTGTAAATTTCAACGATAACCTAAGCACAACTGCACCCTTAGTACATTAGAAATGAAGGAGAGGACGTTTCCTACGAAAGATAGCAAACTTAGTATGCTACGAGCGAAATGTCAGTAAAGAATGCGTCTACGTAATTTGTGTATTTTACATTCGGTAACGATTTCTCACCCCTTGTTAATGCGGCACACTTAATTAGTGGCTTTATAAACGACTCCGACATGATATTCACGTATTGTATCATGTTTATCAAAGCAACATCCACAAAAATGTCTTATATTGGCAAGTGAATCAATCCGTCATTTATTGCTACATGAGAAGGAAAATATTCGCAAATTATATCCAGCAAATGGAATTAACGCTATTTGGAAAGTTCAAAATTATGTCTTTTGGACATTTATTCATTACCAACCTATTTTATTATTTGCTCTAAGGGCTTTTCTAATTGTCTGGAGCAGTGGCTTGTCATGCATGCCACGAATCTCGGCGTTGATTGAAGTTCGTAGGCGTAAATGTAATGAAATAATTACTAAATAGGTAGTTAGTTCCAAAGATTCCGGGATACGCTCAGAAATTAGGCAATGGAAGGAAGGAACCGTTTTAGCATTCATGAGCACAGTTCGAAGCACCGTAATTAATTTATTTTTTGCACGGGATCAAAACGGCTATTTTTGGGGACAGACGTATCGTTCATTTGCTCTAGAGGGATTACATTTTCAGTTAGTTACTCTTGTAATTTAATGAAAACTTCAACGTTTAAAATCACGCTTTTAAAGTGATCAACATTAAATAATTAAAAAATTTCTGTTATAGTTGATCTTTGATAATTAATTCTTATGAGATTCTTGATTCGACTTGTTCTCAACAAAAAGCAGCTGTAGACGTTGAACCCCTTTCTCCCTTTCTGTATTTTACTTCTTAATTTTTTTCCCGTGTGTATTTGTTGTTGCTATGGAATTCATTCGATTTCTCCTTCGTACATTTTTCAGATGTGGAAGATTGTGTCTTACCTACAACTAGAAATTTTTGGGATTTACTTTCAAATTGTAACGGTGGGTACAATTCTTGAAAGAACTTTGGGTTCGTGGTTCTATTTGTTAAATTTTTCTTGCAAACTTCTTCTTCTTCTTGTTATCATATTCAGACGGTTTTATAAATGCGCCCTTGAAAGTAAAAATTTCCATATATTTTGAGAGGCTGGGAAGAGAGCGCTCCCTGCACTCCCGGAGAAGCCACGAGCCATTTATGGAATGGATAGGGTATTAATGCTTCTGTTCGGACTCGCCTGAAGTCCGAAGGAAAATACGCTTTCTCTAACCACTCGAGTTTATTGCCTACCTCTACAATACTACTGCTTAAATTCTAATCTTGCATACTGGCACTATTTTCCCCTTACTACTTCTTATTAACTAGTACTCCTACAGTGGTATAAGTGAAGGTATAATAAGTCAGTACAAGTCGGGATAATTAATTTGTCTACCGTTCATTACAGATTCGTATACCTATGTCTAGGAACTAAAGGAAGGTAAAAAATCGACTATTGCTCATTTTCTTGATGATAAGCACATATACGTGTTAGAAATTAAACTATTGAAAACCGTCACTATTTTACCTGTGACCCACACTTAATCTGATAGTTATGCATTCAATTCTTACATCCACAGAGCGATCCATATGGATGGAATAAACTCCTTTTTAACGTTATTATGTATGATTGAGAAAATACTCGAAACAAGTCGATTTCTATTCTTAATTTGAGAATTTATAGTAAGAACTTATAACGCCCTCTGTCGCCCCCCTTTTAGACCTTCAAAATTATGATTGCACCCAATTTTGAAAACTATATATTTCTAAACAGAAAATTAAATTCCTTGTTAAATGGTAGCCCCACGACCCCCTTTTAATTTAAAATTTTGGATGAGTAATTCAGAGGGGGTGCTATTTTTATGCTTTAAATTTTGAAATTAAGAATAGAAGTCGACTTGTAGGTTTGTTCTAAGTAGTAAATATTGTAGTAACACTCAAAATTAATTTATTCCATACATATGGACCACACTGTATAATATTTACGTGCTTCTACGAGTCACTGCCAAGACGTTGTAATGAATTTATATAGGTTAGGTTATTCACAGCTGTATTTTTGTTTAGTTTATCAATTGTGTATAAACATTTAATTTGTAGTTTGTTTTAAATTCAATTATTATTACTTACTTTAAGGAAATTGGCGTGTTTCTGATATCATTACAGTTTTTATCTTAGCTTACTTGCCTATCTTTGCCTGTTATCTTGAGCGGTTTTTCCCCCTTTAGCTGCAAGAAACATGACAAAGTGAGGTAAGAGAGAACTTTTACTTTTAAATAACATCCCTTAAGAAAAATATCTCGATTTGCTTGCAGTAGCTTTTAAGAAAAATGGACACTAAAAACTTGAGAGACTATTTAAGGGAAATTTTCCCAAATAAATCCCAAGCTGCTATCGATAACGCTTTACGTGTAATAGAAAATGAGATCCCGGACGAGTCATTTGAAATTAAATTGGATACTGCAGCCGAATATCTCTTTGCAATTGAAGATAACGATGAAGGTGACGAGATTAACCTTTTGAATGAGGCGAGAGGTGTAACTAGAAGACTTACGGAGCAGGAATTGTCATCATATTTCGATCAATTGATTAATATTTTCCCTGATGCCTGTCCATCGTATGTCAGAGATCTTTGTTTTAATAGCTCTGGTCATGTGAATTTTGACCTTCTCTTTGAGAAAATGACACTCGGTAAGATTTGCTTGCACCTGTGCCGTTTGTAGGCGCTTCGTTTACAGGTGACTATCCAAGGAAACAAATTCATCCTAGGGATATATTCGATCAGCTGAGGGACATGTTGCCGAACGCCGACCCTACGTACTTGCAAGCTGAAGCTGACAAGCTTGCGAACAAGACTGAGAATGATCTCAAGACCTTTCTGGATAATGCCTTGGAAACTGGGGATTATCCTACAATGGAAAGTTATTTAAAGTATGCACTTTCTTGAAAAATGTAGCAGAAACAAATACCTATGATAAATATTCTTCCAGAAACCGGAAGGACAATGAAGTAATTGACCGATATACTGATGGGTTCACTTTAGACGCATTCCTAAAGGAATTTCCGGATCCTGAGAAATACTTTTCGGATCCCAACCGCACCTACGGACCTAGTGATGAAGATGTAAATGACGATGAGTACATCCAAACTTTCCTTTACAATCACTACCTTTACTTACGCAAGAAAGACATAGACAGAGTTTTCAAAATGTCGTCAAAGAACATAATCAAAACATGCACAAGATTAGATACCTTTCGCAAGGCGCTGAGCCTGCCTAGAAAAATAAGCCCACCACCGCCGGCTTCAAAAAATATCGAATTGCTCAAGCTGATCGCGTTCTTAAAGCATCGCAAGGCGATTAGGAAACGTGTGAAGCAGTATGATCTAAATTACCGTTTGCTGAAAGAGGAGGCAATCAATAACGGCCTGTTGCAAACGTGCGCCTGCTGCTATGATGAGGAACTAATTCCCGAAGAGTGCTATTTCTGCAAAAACGGTTGTATATTTTGCAAGGATTGTATTAAGAAAGGGGTGGAGACTGCGATTGGGGATGGTAAACTGGATTTCCCCTGTTTGGCAGATTGCGGTTTTGAATACAGTATTCCCACTTTACAGGCGAGTCGAAATTCCTGCTTTATCCGTTCACTAATCCGTTCTATACTTAACAATAATGAAAAGTCGCACAAAAATATCACTCTTAAAAATTCAGAAACAATCATTGACGATCCTCAAACAATTGCAAATACTTTTAATGAGAATTTTATTAATGGCCCTCAAAATATTCAACGTTCTATAAAAAGAAACATTTATTCGACTAGCAACTTTGAATCTAATATGACTATTCGCGAAAGTATGTGTGTACTGCCTTTTAGGGAAACGGAATTATTAAATTGTTTAAAAAGAAGCATAAAAAATAAACATTCCTCGGGCCCCGATGATATACCTAATTCTTTGCTTAGGTCAAGTTTGCATATTATAATAAAATCTGTCACACATTTAGTCAATATGTCTTTTTCAAACGGTGTCTTCCCGAAAGAACTTAAGCTGTCAACCGTACATCCCGTTCACAAAAAAGGTTGCTCTCGAGATTGCTCGAATTACAGACCAATTTCTGTTAGCTCGGCGCTGTCAAAAGTTTTTGAATACGCCATGTTAGAGAGGCTAAATAGTCACCTTGTTAAATATAACATTGTAAGTAATAAACAACACGGGTTCTGCAATGGGAAACCGACAATTACTGCCATTGACTCCTTTGTTAACGACATCATTTCACTTCTTGATAAAAAACAGAATGTCCTTGCTATATTTTGTGACCTCAGCAGGGTTTTTGATACTGTTGATCACTTGTTACTGTTTAAAAAATTAAATACTTACGGTATCAGAGGCGTTGTTGCCAATTGGTTTTCATCATATCTCTGTGGAAGGTGTCAACAAGTAGAAATTAAATTTAAAACCGGTTCCACTATTGCAAAATTTTTATCCACAGCTTTGCCTGTTAATATGGGGGTTCCACAAGGATCTGTTTTAGGACCTATTTTATTTTTATTATTTATTAATGATATTGTCATGTTCTTAAATTGCTTGGTTTTATATGCGGATGATACAACGGCATTAATATCTGGAAAGAAGCAAGAAAATATATATCCAAAAGCTGTTGAGATTCTAAATAAGCTAAGTAATTGGTTTAATTTTAACAAATTATTCTTAAATCACGATCAAACATTTTTCCTACCGTTTACAACTTTTGGAAATAACCATTTGTCTGACTCAAGCAACAAAAACATTAATATTCTAGGCACTGGGAAGTTTCTGGGGATCTATTTAGATCAAAACTTAAATTGGAAATGTCACTGCGAACATCTTATTAAAAGACTAGACACATATTGCTACCAGATACGGAATCTTAAAGAATTAATGGATGTGAACCATACTTTAAATTATTACTATGCTCAAATTCAATCCAGATTGTCGTATGGAATAATTGTTTGGGGCTCGTCAAGCGCGGCAAAAAATGTTTTTCTGGTACAAAAACGAATAGTCCGGTGTATTGCAGGTAGTAAGAAATTTGATTCGTGTCGCCCGGTATTTAAAAAATTGAATATTCTTACACTTTCATCACTCTATATACTTGAATTGTTAACTTTTATTTTCCATAATCAGCAACATTTCTTACGCCATAGCAGTTTTCATAATTACAACACGTGCAATAAACAACAATTTATCATTCCTTTAACAAGGCTTAAACTTGCCCATAATTCTCCCACGTCAATGGGCATTAAATTATTTAATGCTATTCCAAGTACACTTAGAAGTCAGGGAACAATAAAGTGCTTTAAATCTTCTTTTAAAAAATTTCTTCTAGTCAATGCACCATATACAATTGATGAAATTTCTAAATCGTATTGATAAAAATTGCGGATCTCTAGAATTTATATTGCATTCTTTCTTTTTTGTCCATTTTATTGTGTATGCCCAACATTTTTTAAATTGTATTTAATTGTATTTTTTTGTGTCTTGACGTATCCTATACAAATCAAAATTTGTCTTGGGAATGAATATATATTATTATTATTATTATTAATGTTTTGTTCGCAGATGGTATTAGATTCTGTCGTCTTCTCAAGGATGGCGCAAAGAAAGCAAATGGACGAGGTGAAAAAGGCCAACATCGACGGTTTGGAAACTTGCCCATTCTGCGAGTTTGCGACAATTCCTCCACCGGACAGTAAGATTTTTACGTGCCTCAATAGTGAGTGCATGAAAGAGTCGTGCAGAGAATGTCGACATGTCTCCCACATACCCTTGAGATGCAGCGAAATTGAGTACGATGAGGATGTTAAAATGCGAACTTACATCGAAAATAAAATGACCGAAGCACTTTTAAGGACCTGTAGAAAGTGCAATAAGGTCTTTATCAAAGCCTCCGGCTGTAACAAAATGACATGTAGTTGTGGAGCAATAATGTGTTACGTATGCAGCTTACCCATTGATGATTATCGTCATTTTGGAGATGACGGCGTTCGGTAAGTAAATCATGAGGGTTTGATGTTTATTACATTCATTTGATGTTGCAGGTGTCCCTTGTACACCACTGATTTGAATAAATTCCATACTACGGCTGTTCTTGAAGGTGCGAAGAAAGCAAAAATCGAGTTGGGTATAGATAAAGATCCTAGCAAACTTAAGAATGATCCTACCAGAGATCTGATCTAATGTGCATTTCTAGCCTTTATTGTGCCAATTTATTCGTGTGATAATTAAAGTATTGTTGTATTTTTCAGTTAAATTTAAAGAATTTTTATATGTGCTCAATTTTACTATTTCACTTGTTAAATATATCTTTTCTATCTTTGTCGTTCATTCAATTATGCAATCAAAATTATTGCCACTTAGAGTTCAATATTTTCAAAACAGTCGAAGTATATATAACACCTGACAGTCGCCATTTCACAAAAATCAATAAGTAGTCCAGGCACCTAGCTGATAGCAGGAACTAGGTAAATATACATCAGTGCCTAATCACTGATTAAGTAGAAACTATGGATAGGTCCTTGCAGAAGCTGAACTGTAATTTTTTTAATATTTGGGCTTTCTATTGGTATTTTTCCAAGAGTGGGGGAGGCAGACCATGTTATACCATCCATATAGGTATCACAGTATAAAGGTAAATTTGATGTTGACATTTAAGATTTATATGGTAGGATGTACAGTTCAATATTAAATGTCAAAGTATGAAAATCATAAAATGTAGTAAACAGAACACAAATAAATGCTCTCTCGACGACAGCTCAAACCAAGATAGCTGTGACTGTAACATAAGAACCATTCGTGCTCTCAAAACCATGTATGTTTTATCTACAGCGTGTTCAAGACAGTAGGGGTCACTTCAATATCTCTTTTATTTGGCGAGATACAAAAAAATGGTCAAATATACTTTTTTATGTGACATCACGATCCATCCGATGGTATCAAGGTTGTAGTGGTAGAACAAGGGAGACCGGACTCACGTCGGCCATCATTTGGGCTAACACCTTGAGGTTCCTCATTCCTTGTCAATTTTTTGTTGTTTCATTTTTGACTTAAAACGTTATATAGGTATGCATGTAATTATTGATTTTGTAAAAATGTTTATTTCTGTTTTTCTGTTTGAAATATACGACCTGCTAGATTTCATAAGTTTTTTTGCATTTAAAAAACAAAACTTGCCTCAAATTCTGGTTAAACCGGAAGTTTCACTATATTATCGGATGTTACATGTAAGATTCTATTTGAAAAATTTTTCGTATCTCACCAAATAAAAAAGATATTGAGGTGACCCTATTATTCAAATACAGTGTACCTACATGCTCAAAACCGTGCAGACAGTTTTCCCCTTCACGCGGTTGCCAGCTCTTAACAGTGTAGAATGTATATATAGGTACGGGTTGGCAGGGTAGCACTATGTAGCTCAATGGTAGAGCGTTGGGATACATAGCCGAGGTAGTTCGAGTGTTAGAACCTGCTCTGCGAGGTAAGAATTTTTCATCTGTGGTAGAGATGGGAGTTTCCTTACATCAGTTTCGAGGATTCTGCCGGATAGATTTTCCTGCAGTTTTCCTAATTCGTAAGGTAAACACCGGAATAGTATAGAACAACTTAAGACCTTCTGCAGAGGCACCTCTAAAAAGCATTATGCGAGTCACTCTGTACTTGGGCAAATCCTGTTAAGGGCCCAGAAGAAGAGGGACAATAAATAAAAATATAAACTAAAAATTCCTCGAGAAAATTGACAATTTGAGCTCAAGATAAACTTGGCTTAAATGAAAATGAAGAAAAAATTAAGACATGAACGCGAAAGTAATTCGAAGGAAACGTTGAGTTCAAAAGTTACAGCCCCTTGAATTTTTTTTCGAAATTGGTTTCTAGTCTATAACTTTTGATTGATAAGTCTGATCGAAAAAGTACGAATTGATTTGGATTCTACGCACCAAAATTAATACGAAAAAGTGTTTTCCCGAGAAATTTTGGTGTAGTCGATTTTTGGTAAAAAGGGAAGGTTGTACACTGCCTTTTTTTGAGCCCCGAAAAAAAAATTGTCTCAGATCGAACGGGAAAAAAAAATTTTCTTATAGAATGTGGCCTGTAGAATCAATAATTTCAAACAGTTCCAAGATTGGGCTACTAGATCAAAAGTTACAGCCTTTTGAATTTTCTTTCGAAATTGGTTTCTAGTCCATAACTTTTGATTGCGAAGTCTAATCGAAAAAGTACGATTGATTTGGATTCTACGCACCAAAATTAATAAGAAAAAGTGTTTTCCCGAGAAATTTTGGTGTAGTCGATTTTTGGTAAAAAGGGAAGGTTGTACACTGCCTATTTTTGAGCCCCGAAAAAAAAATTTTCTTATAGAATGTGGCCTGTAGAATCCCTCCGTTTATTGTCTCTCCCCTAGCAGTTCCCGATGTTCCTGTCGGAAATAAGCGTCATGTTAATAAAATTTTTACATTATCTGTACGTCTATGCCAAGCAATAACTAAGAGGTTCTTTTTTGTACGAAAAAATAGCAACCTGAATTATGTTAAATAAAAGTATGTGTAGAGATAAAGTACAAACGAAACGGGTAAATTTCACCACTCAAAAATTGGAAAACAGGCGCACTCGTTAAAGTTTTAAGTTTGTCTGTTTCTGTTGATTATCCATGGGCCTGTTACAAACGGAGTTACTCCAAGAAATGAAAACAACACAACGAGCACGGAACAAAACGGTTATCCGGGGTTGCAACCGAGTTTCAGTTGTTTAGTCGCCTCTTACGACACGCAGTGTCTTCTGCGGTGGGGGTATTCTTTCCCGCCCCCACGCGGGTACAAATTTCCTATATAAAATATAAACAATACGAAATTAGCATATGTATGTAGGAAAGGGGGGGGGGGGGGATAGATAGAAATCAAAATGGGCATGTGTAATCGAAAATTTGTAAAAGTTGCTTCTAGGTCATCCAAACAATCCTTGGGACCTTTCCACCGAATAACGATGTTTATCATAATCCAACAATAATTTATTATGGGCACTTGGGTATTGTAAGAGATTTTTAAGGCCTTTTTCGGTCATTAAGAAACTTAAAGAAACATTTATTCCAAATAAAACAAAAGGTACCAAAGATAGTAAATGTCTTATGCGTTACGGTTTGCTGAAAAAAATGAAAAAGAAACTTAGCATTGAAACGCAACATTTTTGAACCAAATTTTGAAAAAAAATATTTGGTTTGCTTGCTAAAAATTAAAATAAATTACTCTTGTAAATATTTAATCTTTGATATAAGTGCGGCGTTTGTGTAAGTTTTATAAAATTTTCTTACCACGATCTCGATCGCGCGCATTTATTTCAAAACGCAGAATAAAGTGAAATAGAAACGAAAAATGTCTAGAAGATATTATATTGTTACACCAGTCGATGGCCCATGGAGGCGAAAGGATAAAAAAATTATTAATTGCAGGTACGTACAGTCCAGAGCACTTAAAGTGTTACTCTTGCAGTGCGAGTTTTGCCTCTACAACCTCAACCTATAAAACGGTAAAAAGTCCAAGCGTAAAACTCTAAGAACTCTTGACTGTACATTAAATAAAAATTCAGAAAATTATAAGTTATTACATTTTATTAAAAAAATACATTAAAAATATTTTGTTTTACAGAGATGGAGGTTCTATACATTTTACAAATTAATTTTTGAAAATTGCAAGCTTATAATAATAAAGAGGTCGAGAACTTTTTAAAGTTAATTAAAACATGATCTCGGAGTTGTTTTTGTAAACTTCTTGATCACTTTATCATAAAAATCTTTAAGTTTGCATTAATAAGGCCTCCATCCATAGTGGTTCTAACCAAGTTGTAATGGGGGCAGCTGCCCTCCCCTGCCCATCCCTGGCGACGCCCATGCTATGGCATAACCAAAACTGTTGTAGGTACCTATAGCCACTGTATATCTCTGGTTGTTGTCCATTTCCCATGTGCTGACCTTGTCCATAACCTAAAAATTTCAAGTTGTATTTTGTTCAAAGTAAACGTTCTACCTGTTTGTGTAAGTATTTTTAGATAGTGATTCTTCTCTTCGTAGCATAAGTGCTTCTGGGTTAAGGCAACTACTTACCCTTTAATTAGGTAATCAAGTTAGCTGTAGGCAAATTGTAGTCAATGGCTTTTGAGTCCTTCGAGGTGCCACATGAAAATGACTCCTCGTTCTCTTCCATTACTCATTTCACATTGAACTTCTACCTTTGTTTTGTAGGTCCTGGGTCGGTCTCGCTCTTCTGCACCCATTTCAAGGGTTTTTTTTCAAGAAAAATCAGTCTAGAAAGAAATCATCCAGGTCATACTGGAAGGAGATACTCAGAAAAACCAGTGGTGCCCTCACCTTTGAGGCCCACCACAAATAATCGTGACAAGAAGCACAGACAGGAATAGGTTTTGAGTTCTATTCTGCCTTACTTTTAGATATTCGTGATGCAGGAGGATATTAAATTCTCAGAATGAATACACTGAGTACTCCCAGGGGGCCCAGTTTACATTTTCTCTGGGCAGTCTGGCCATGGTCAAGGCTTCGTGTTATCCGAAATTGGTCTTACCCTCAGACATTTTCAAATGAATAACTCAATTTCTTTGTTCTCACTAATTGTAATGCATGTCCATACTGTTTTATTGTTATATCCCCACTGTGAGGTAGTTTCTCATTTGGGTACATTTCTTGTATTGATCAATGCATGCATTTGGTTTGATTTTAAAGATTCAGTGTTGTTAATAAAGTTGTACTGATATTTTTAATAAAAAGGCAAAATTAATTTTTGTAGCTCTTATCCCAAGCTCATAATTTTTAGAAGCGGAAAAAATGTATTTTGGGGGATTGCTCTAGAAACCAGAGAATTATTTCCCATGTGAGGATATTTTGCCAAGTTTTTATGCACAGTAATTCAGTACCGTACTTTGCGTTTACGATTTTGACTGTTCACTTTTCCTTAACACTTTACTTCAACTGGACTAACTTTTTCTGTAAAACGGACGACACGCTTTAAATTTCTCACAACTTTGCAACAACATCAGTTAACTTTCTTCTGTACAGAAATATTATGAAAATAACGGAATGCGTCTTCAATCAATCAAATAGAGTGAACTATCTGAATAAAAACAGCGTAAAGAGATGTACACTCTTCTCTAACCGTCACGAACAAGCTACCAGCAATTTTTCGTTGTCACACGTATTTAAGGGAACACCACTTCCATAATAAAATAAATCTATTTCTTCCGGTTTTTCCCAAAAATGTACCAATTACAATTGACGTTGGCCACATGCGTCTTTGGTTATCAGCACCAGAACACGACGTGCGTTAATTAAATCTCGCCCGCTAACAACTCTAAAAGGAAAATACAGAAGTACAAAATTCGAATGACATATCCCCCCTCCATGATTTATTTAAGTACATCGTGAAAATAACCAAATTAGAAACAGAACAACATATAATGTGTGACATTTAAATTGTTATATTGGGCACTGTACGTTATTTGAATTAGAACTGTTGTTGTAGGTATGTACATACCAAGTGTTTAAATTCCGAGATTACCTACTAATACACAGAAGAACGGACAGTCAGGTCTGGTATGTATTTACAAAAAACATCTCTCTTTTAATTGTATGAAATAGATAATTGTTCCAAATTTCAGTCGTTTCTCAAAGTGCAATGCATGCAATGGATGAGAGTTTGGTAGAAAGAAAACGTAAAAAGAAAAAAAAGAAGCGCGACGACATTATTAGACAAAATTCTTTTACAAATGACGCCGATTTTAGATTGGTTAATGTTATCAATAAAGATGGTGGTGATGTTACTGAAATCAAAAAACATAAGAAGAAACGAAAAAACTTAGAGTATAATAGAAACGAAGCTTTCGTAACACAAAATGGAATTGATGCAGAAGTTATAAAACATAAAAGGAAAAAGAGTCATTCCGGCGAACTAAATAAACTGAACAACATCACTGTAGGAGACGGTTTGAGAGATGGAAGTGTTTCTAAGAAGCATCGCTTGAGTAATACGCCGCACCATTTTGATGTTGATCAGAATTACAGCAAACGCAATGATTTTGACTCAAACGCGGACAAAGACAGCATAATTGAAATAAAAGATGAAAGGGTAGGTGTGAAGAAGAAGAAAAAGAAGCACCACAAAAACTTAGATACAATGCCACCACCGACTGATAAACACAAACATAAAGATGGTTTGTTACCCAATACCTCGTTGGAGAAGGAAACTTTGCCCGCCCAAAACTGTAATGGTGTGAAGAAAAAGAAAAAGAAGCGCCACAAAGATGAGACGAATGTTATAACTGAGAAACAACATAAAGAGATTCGCTCCAGCTTACTAAATGAATCTTGTGATAATAATGAAGTGGGTACTAAGAAACCAAAAAAGAAGCGCCACAAAGATACTATAGAACCAGTTGTACAATCATCTGCATTGGTAGAGTATAGCGCAATAGAGTCTAATGTAAACGACTTTTTAACCAATACCAATGGTAAAACAAAGAAGAAACGGGAAAAGAAACGTAACAAAGATATTACAATCACAAGTGTGTTGCCAGATGAATCACAGGATATCATCACAATTGATAAACAGCGTAAAAATGGTGGGTCTCGCAAGAAAGAAATTTCACCTCTCCATGATGAACATCATAAAAAAACATCGAAAAAGATGCATCACAAAAATACAGAGTTAGGACACCATAATTATTTATCATCAAAAGACGAAATTGTATCAATACAACATTATAACATAAATGATCAGCATCATAAAAAGAAACGGAAAAAGGAGCATCACAAAATAGTCACAGATGAATCAGAATTGAGACACCATAAATATTTGTCATCACAAAACTCTTGTGACAGCGAAATGTTATCAACACAACATAATATAAGTGATCATAAGAAGAAACGGAAAAAGCACAAAGATACGGCCACAGGTGAATCAGAATCGGGACATCATAAACACGTCACACGAAACGATTCTGATGGTAACGAAATTTTATCGACAGGACATGATCAACATCATAAGAAACGAAAAAGGGAGCATCACAAAGATACGGCCGCAGGTGAATCAGAATCGGGGCATCATAAATATTTCTCACGAAACGATTCTGATGGTAACGAAATTTTATCGACAGGACATGATCAACATCATAAGAAACGAAAAAGGGAGCATCACAAAGATACGGCCGCAGGTGAATCAGAATCGGGGCATCATAAATATTTCTCACGAAACGATTCTGATTAACTCACAAAGATGATATCATAAACATTTCTTACCAAACGATTCTTGTGGTAGCGAAATTTTATCGACGGAACATTTTAATATCGATGATCAACACCATAAAAAGAAACGGAAAAAGGAGCATCACAAAAATACGGCCGCGAGTGAATCGGAATCAGGACATCATAAACATTTCTCGCCAAACGATTCTTGTGGTAGCAAAATTTTATTAACAGAACATTATAATATCAATGATCAACACCATAAAAAGAAACGAAAAAAGGAGCATCACAAAGATACGGCCGCAGGTGAATCGGAATCGGGGCATCATAAACATTTCTCACGAAACGATTCTGATGGTAACGAAATTTTATCAACACAACGTTTTAATATAAATGAGCAACATAAGAAGAAACGGAAAAGGGAGCATCACAAAGATACGGCCACAGGTGAATCAGAATCGGGGCATCATAAATATTTCTCACGAAACGATTCTGATGGTAACGAAATTTTATCGACAGGACATTATAATATAAATGATCAACATCATAAAAAGAAACGGAAAAAGGAGCATCACAAAGATACGGCCCCAGGTGAATCAGAATCGAGACATCATAAATATTTCTCACCAAACGATTCTTGTGGTAGCGATATTTCATCCACACAACATTTTAATGTAAATAGTGAAATTGAGAAGAAAAAAACCAAAAGGAAGCGTGAAGAAGCCACCATAGATAGAGTGAAAAGTGAGCGAATTGACGAAATTGAGAACCAGATAAACCTTACTCAATTTGTCCTTAATGAAACACCACAACATATTATAAGTGAGAGACCAGTCGAACTTAGGAAAGATGGAGTGGATAAGAAACGGCATCATATTAAGAAGGAGATGCAGGATAGTCATACAGCTCAACACGCTCTTCCACAACTTGATGCGAATCTCATAGGTTCCACGCCTGTTGATTGCTTAGACCGTGCAGAGAAAGAGAAGACTGGTAGGGAACAGTCCAACACAACTGATACAAACCTTTCTCATTTTGTCCTTAATGAAACACCACAACATATTGTAAGTGAGAGACCAGCCGAACTTGTGAAAGATGGAGTGGGTAAGAAACGGGAAAACAAGGAGATACATGATAATCATGCACCATTTACAGCTCAACCACAACTTGCTTTTGATGTGATTCGTATAGGTTCCACCGAGGGTTCCACGCCTGTTAATTGCGTAGACCATACAGAGAAAGAGAAGACTAAGGATGATCACAATAATAATGAAAGAGAAGAGAGGCAGAAGCATTCAGATGAGGACCAAATTCCTTGTGAGAATACTTCAACAGTTGAAAGTTGTAATTCCGAGCAAGTATCTACAAAATCAAATATTTCTAAACCTGGACAAAGAAAACACAATGAAACCCCGTCGGACACCCTCAAACGCGTTGACTTTGTAAAAAATTTTTTAGATAAGCCTTCCGTAAGAACAAAGTTAACCGAAGACAATAAACAGGTAAGAGTATAATATTTCGTAGGGCGTAATAAACCGGCTATCTCTCAGCTGTTGGAGAATTTACATGTTACCATTCCATTTGACATTCCACTTTCACATTTAATAGAGACCCGTATGTCTTCTCACCCTACAAAAAAACAACAGAAACAATTCAAGGAACTGGGACTGACAATGAACACCACGCATTACAACCAAGTCGAGGATAATATAATAAAAAACAATTGGGAAAATTTTTGCAAGGTCAGAAGGAAACACTCCATCTTCTTGTTCATAAATAGTCAAATTTGTAGATGCACAATTTGCCAAACGATCCGAAACCGTTTATGAGTTTCGAAGCGTGCAGTGATACAAAAATGAACGGAAGTATCCTTTCAAAGCCGGAGAGGATTAAATTCGTGCAATTCCTCGGGCAGAAACTAGAACATCGTTATTTGTACGGTATCTATCGAAGGTTTAAGAAGTTGTATGAGGTGGTCAAGAAAGGAAGGTCAGCCTTAAAGCGATACGATCGGCGTAATACTGTTCGGTTTTAGGTTTACGAAGACAGAAGATGACTTAATTTGGGACTACATTCAACAATCGGATGATACTAACCAGTTTTCGAAGTTGGCGTACGTTCTAAACAGGGATAGACATAGGATATTGATGCGTTACAGACTTTTGAAGGCCCAGAGGGAACCTGGTCGTGATAAAAAATGAATTGTTCATAGAAAAACTGTGTAATAACCTAGAAATAACGTGGTCGCACCTCCAGATGCAGTGTGGTGCTTATGGACATTATCGAAGAATGACGAGAATTAGTAAGAGAGGCCATTAGTCCATAAGACGCCATACTGCATCTCAAGGTGCGAACGCAGTATAGTAACAAAAAAGGTTTAGGAGTGACCAACGACTGACTATATTTATCAAAAGGCGATTCCAATGAGGAAATGCAAATGTTACAAATAAAAATGATGTCAATTTCTGTTTTTATATTCTTGATTTAAATAAATGATTGTTTTATTAATCTTGTCTTATTTTCAAGGTAATTATGGATGCGAATCAGTTCAACCAATTCTTAGATCTTCAACAACTATTTCAATGCTTGATTACTTCGCATATTCAACAACCGAACCGATTCAAAATCATGTCAATAAATTTGATATTTTGATGAAACTTAAAAAATACATTACACAGAGTGAGTTTTTTAAAGTGGTACAAGGCGCTACAATAAAATATTAAAAAAAGTCATTGTACAAGCAAAAAAAATCCAAACTAAAAGAATTATAATGAATTCGAGAAACAAAATAAAATCCACGTGGCAAATTATAAATAAAAACCTAAATAAACAAACAAAAAAAACTACCTACATCTATTTCTTTACACCAAAATGGCAAGGTTATTACTAATTCTGAACACGTTGCTAATATTTTCAATGACTATTTTGTTTCCGTTGCGCATGAATGTAGAAAAAACATACCTCCAACATACGAAACTACGAAAGTTATGCCATCATCACCAAATTCTTTCTATTTGCTGCCTGTCACAAAAACTGAATTGTTCAATGTTTTAAATAATTTAAATAATATGTTAGCTTGCGGTCACGATGGTATTCCTATAAAAATATATAAAGAAGTGTTTGATGAAATATATCAACCTTTGATTTACTTAATTAACCTTTCTTTCTCTTCAGGGGCTTTTCCAAGCCATGGTAAAATTGCAAAAATTAACCCACTTCACAAATCAAAATCGAAATCAGAACCACAAAATTATAGACCAATTTCGATCTTAAATTCCGTATCGAAAATACTAGAATCTCTCATAAAAGTTAGATTAATTGCCTTTTTGGAAACCCATAAATTGTGTAATAGTTCACAACATGGCTATAGAGTAAATAAATCAACTACCACAGCTTTACAAAGTATGTTACACTACATACACACTGCGCATAATAATGGCAAGGTTGTACCATCGTTAAGTTGTGATTTGTGGAAGGCTTTCGATCTGGTTGATCATGACTTGTTAGTGGACAAGCTATACTCATATGGCATTAGAGGCGTGACGCTAAATTTATTGAGATCCTTTATTAGTGATAGGTGGCAATATGGGTGTACCCCAAGGATCTATCCTTGGTCGTATATTATTAATAATTTTTATTAATGACCTGTTTAACTGCTTCGATCCATCTTCATGTGATATCACCACATATGCAGATGACACTACTGTGGCTTGTGTTGAAGAAGAGTTAGAAATTAATTTAAAACGTGCGTTATCAACTCTTATTAATTGGTTTAATGCAAATAAACTTTTACTTAATTTGGAAAAAACAAAAATTCTTCTTTTTAAGAAAAATATGGGTTTTGATATCGCTCCACTGCGTTACCAGTCAGTTCAATTAGAAAGGTGTCAATCCTGTACCTTCTTAGTAGTTATTATAGACACAGAACTTAGTTGGAAAGATCACATTGACCATCTGAAAGCAAAATTACATTCATCGATTTTCGCATTGTCCCGTTGTAAAAATTTATGTGACCTTTTGCAAATCTACTATTCAATATTTGAAAGTAAGGTGCGATACGGTATCTCATGGGGAAATGCTACTAGTCATAGAATTGCTAGCATATTTAAGGTTAAAAAAAAAAGCAATCAGGGTAATGTTTTCGCTACAGAAACGGGAATCCTGCAAACCGTATTTTAAAAACTTTCAGATTGCAACCGTCTATTCATTATATGTGCTTGAATGTTTATGTTTCGTGTTCAAAAACAAAAAATTATTTTCATTAAATTGTGATAACCACTCATATAATACGAGAACGAAAAATAACTTTTCTATAATGAGCTCAAAAAGTAAGGTGCATAACTCGTCCTACCTACAGATGGGGGTGAGATTTTATAATGTCCTTCCGGCACATGTCAAATGTATTACAATGTTGGCTCCTTTTAAAAACCAAATTAGAAAAATTCTTCAGCAATGGTGCTATACACACTGGATGATTTCTTTACGAATATCAAAAAATGCTAGTCATATTAAAAAAAAAAAAATTTTAATATATACACCTATTTACGTTTCTTTTTTATAGATATATTTATATTATTTATTGTACTTTATTGTGTTTTTTATTTATGTTATTGTGTGATAGTTACACCACATTCGTGGTTGCAATAAAATGCTCTCTCTCTCGTTATCTCGAAAACTGTGTCTTTTCTCAATGTTTAGAGGGGGGAGTAACTTTTGACATTTTAAATGAAATAGGAGTAGGTGAAGTTGGAAAATGAGCCGACAAAAAGGACCTGGATGCACAAATACAATAGAGGATGAAGATAGAGAATGCAAAGGGAAGTAGAGTAGTTACAAAGATCTAATATAAGGGAGTGGTTACCAACATATTTATGGAAGGGAAAAAAAAAATTAATAATGACGAGATTCAGCTGACACTTTAATCATGACATGATGAAATCGGGAGGAGAATTGAATAAAATGCAGAATTTTGTGCGTAAGAAAATACAAGAACAAATAAATATATTACACACACAAGGCGAAACCCGGAAAACCTCTTATGGACAAAAAACCTGGCATAATCCACATAAATAAACTACGACAACAAAATGCAAAAGAGAAATACACATCTCAAATTGTATAATAAAAATCCGGTACCGACTCAAAATGCAATAAGTCAACAAAAACACAAGAAGCGTTATAAATACAAGTTGAAAACAACGTCAATCAATTCAGTACAAAAACACATCAAACAAATTTACGATCAATTTAAGTAAAACAACTAGTAAAATGCATGTACGCAAAAAAAGGACTCATACAAGAATCATCAAACCTTCTCGTATATTGCAAAGACACAAGAGTTGCAGTCTGCACGAGATAAGCAAGCAACATATACAGCGAACTACATGAGGTACTCCATGGAATAGTTAAATGCAAGCAGCGTACTGACAATAAAAAATACATATAACTAAACAATATTAAGGCATAATCACTTGTGCAGTATAACAGTGCTACAAGTGAAATAGAAATGGTGACAAGAAAAAAGAAAATGTCGAATATGTGAAGAGGAAAAAGAGAACATAGAACACATGTTATGAAATTGGAAGGAGATGGAAAGGACAAGGAGAAGCAGAAGTGAGGTGCGGGAAGAACCAAGAGGTGAGAAGTGGTCAGTTTTGTTTATACCTAGATGGTTAATAAAATGTGATTGTTACCCATAGCCAAAATGCCAACACTAAAAACCACGACGAGAAATGACAACCCAAATCTTTAAAAATGTTTATTTCAGATTTCGAATGCGGTACAAATTCGATTTTCTTCATTGTATAATTTATAAATAAAATATTTTAATATCGTAAACCCTTACGTGAAAAATGTAACACTTACTCCAATAACCAAGATAAATACGAGGTCACGCGTGCACGTAACAAAAACAATATACATTCAGGCATTAATATCACATTTTCAATTTCTATTTATAAAATATTTAAAATGCTTGTTGATGCGAAAGGAGAGCTTCGTGCTTTCTGCATTCTATACTTAGCTGTTTAAGAGCGACCACGTACTTCCTTTGTTGCTCTATTAAATTCTGTAAGGTATCGCGTAGTTGGTCGCGCTTTGACTTCTCCTCGTCGAGCTTGGACTCGATCCTTTGCTTTGAATTTTTAAACCAGTCCGCGACGAATTCCATTTGTTTTAAAAATTCGTTCTTACCGCTACTCGAAGACATGGCCCTATATGCCGATGATTTAATTAAAAATAGGATACAAAAATATAAGCAGATTCAATTGCAGTCCTGAGATGAACAGGATTGAATCTCTTTATATTTAGTACTCCCAACTTACTCGGGATAAGTATCACATATCGAATTTAAAAGACCAATCTCTCGTTGAATATAATTACGGGTATCTTCAAGCGTATTATACAATGTATAGTATTGTTTTGTTTCTTTATGCTTTGCGGCAACTAAAACAAAAGTCAAACATTTCAGTTTTTGTACGTGATATTTACCTTGATTATACAATTCTAAAAATCTCTTTTGGTACTGAGCTAATTCGGCTCGACTAGGAATATCGTCTAATTTTCTTTGTAGTAGTACAACCGCGCGGTTCTTCTTCGCCAATTGCAACCGTAACGCCTTCACCTTGTCGCTTTCATCTTTTAATTCGGCGTGCCACTTTGAATCGGGTTCGTCTGGCGTTTTTTTACTTTCTTCGATTCGATTTTGTAGACTAGACAACTCTTGCTTGCACTTTTCGCGGAACTGCACCTCTTGAGCTTTTAAATTATCGTTTAATATAACTAAATCTTCCACTTCTTTTAAATTCCTGCAAGAACACCAATGACCACCACACGAGACTTGCTTAGCGACAATACTCAAAATTCTCCTTCTCATCTCGCGATAACTCATTTAGCGCCTTATCCGCTTCCAATTGTTTACTCGCGCAATTGTCGATTGCCAATTTATTTTCAGATACAACACTCTTGAGCGATTCGATATCCTCGGCTAGCTTCGCGTTTCGTTCCATTATCGTTTGCTTCTGCCGTTCGAGTACCGCTTTTCTTTTCTCCTCTTGAGACTTGATACCCCCATCCTATTTCTTTCATAATTAAAATTGTTCAATAATGGATTACCCTTACCTCCATTTCTGACTGTAAAGTTGCATAATGCTTAATTAATTCCAAACGTTCTTCTTCGTTTAATATGAATTGGTCTGGATCGTCCTTTAAAATAGAGAGAGAGTTTGTAAATGGATTAGAAAATTGGGAATTTATTTTTATATGAGGGGGAAATGGCAAAGGCATTTAATCATTTATATTTGTTGCTTAATTTTGTTTAAATGTTTTATGTCGTATTTTGATTTTATTTTATTATTGGAAATATTTTGATTTGTTTTGAGCTAGCTGGACAGGTGTTCAGGGTGGTGTGGTGACCACATAGACAGGAGTGGATTACCCTTTATCATTGCTGTAGGAAGCTAAGAGTGGTTTAAAACATGGTTAGCATATTTTGACATTTATTAAACCTGCAAAGATCAAGAAGACAACAAACGGAACACCTGAGTAGCCATTTCCTCCTAAATTTCATTTAAAAAAAGGTTAAGCTAAGACTAAGCACGGCTTACCCACCTCTTTCATTGTTGCCATGTTATGCAATAATTGCTGAATATCGAGCTAAAAGTAAAGACACCAATAACACACACTAAAACAGCCAAAAAAATTATAAAAGCACAAATCAAAACAGCAAAATTTCAAAAAAGCACTACGTGAAAATCTGTAATTTTCCGCACCTTAGCAGTAGGGTCATGTTCAAACGAGTCCGAATCAGTCTTAGATGCACTCCTTTCACCTCTCAGGCCGTACTCCAATAAAGTAATTTGTACTTTCGACGGTAAATCATCGGGCGGGGCATTCTTTCTCCTATAATACCGGTGCGGCTTGTACACCTCCTTAACTACGTTTACATTGTTCATAATCTGCCTTTCGACGTCTGCATTTCGATTTTTTAAATGGAACTCCTTACTAAACTGACTAACCGCATAGGAACGTACAAACGCCGACATTTCCTGACGAAATTCCATCGACCGTTTCACCAGCCACTAAATGAGATCCTTAATTAGAAGCCCTACTCGACCAATCATCTATGACGAAGGCGTAGAGGGACCATGTAAGATTATTTTTGTACTCGAGACTTTAATGTCTTAATCTAAAGTTTAAACTCTGAAATACAGATTTAAACCCTCCTTTCCAAAGCCTTCCAGGTTCACCTAGCTCTGAAAGGGCACCCCAAATGTTACGTATTTGCCCAATTAATACTGATGGCACTGCAGAAGAATAACACATACTCAAGCAATAGTTTATTCAATACTGACTATATGTAAGTATATTATAATGACCTTACTGATATCAGTCCATAACACCAAAGACCTGTAAACACCCCCCCCCCCGACCAACGGTACGATTTTATCCATCCTTAAGACTATGATATTTGAAAAGAGTCGAGGAAGGAGTCCTTAGAGCTGAACACAGGGGGGTTAGAATACCAGCAGTATACAAAGGTCTAATGACAGTTGCAGGGAAATTTGTTCTTTTTCCCTTATACCCCCCCCCCCAGACCACGCGGTTTGATATTCTTCATCCTTAACACTACAATTTTTAAAGTCTAGGAAAGAGCCCTTCGGGCAGAACGTTTTGAGGCAGAACCTATAACCGGGGGTTTAGGGCAGGGGCGGACTGGCACGGGGGGGGGGCGGGTGGCGATTGCCACCTAGCCTGTAGATCATAATGGCCTGTTGGAAATTTATAAGTATGTGCTGTATTTAGTTTCTTGCACTATTAATAAATTATTAACACGTTTCTCTAATTGGGGTTGATGTTAGGTTGGTTGATGTTAGTTTTTATTCTGTTTTAATTGAAGTGTTTTAGAATGAATTTATCATTTTTTGTCGTAGTATTTTGAAAGTGCTGAAATACAATGATAGGCGACGCACCTCGTGTGGATTGTATATTTTGTTACTTTTAATTATCACCTGCAATTTAAAAAAAAACTGTATGGTAATTGATTTTCGAGAAAGGAGTACGTTAAAATGTTTTTGTGGTGCACCTCAGAGCTAACCCCCCCACCCCTCGCCACCCTCATTACTACACTAATACTGTAATGGCCCGTAAGTACCCAGTCCGCCCCTGTGTATAACCTTCCTTTTTTACCAAAATTCAACTACACCAAAATTTTTCGGGGAAAACACTTTTTCTTATTAATTTGGGCGCGTAGAATCCAAATCAATTCGTACTTTTTCGATCAGACTTCTCAATCTAAAGCTATAGACTAGATACCTATTTCGAAAAAAAATTCAAAGGGCTGTAACTTTTGAACTAGTAGCCCAATCTTGGAACTGTTTGAAATTATGGATTCTACAGGCCACATTCTATAAGAAAATTTTTTTCCGGGTCGATCTGAGACAATTTTTTTTTCGGGGCTCAAAAAAAGGCAGTGTATAACCTTCCTTTTTTACCAAAAATCGACTACACCAAAATTTCTCGGGAAAACACTTTTTCTTATTAATTTTGGTGCGTAGAATCCAAAACAATTCGTACTTTTTCGATCAGACTTCTCAATCAAAAGTTATAGACTAGAAACCAATTTCGAAAAAAAATTCAAAGGGCTGTAACTTTTGAACTAGTAGCCCAATCTTGGAACTGTTTGAAATTATGGATTCTACAGGCCACATTCTATAAGAAAATTTTTTTCCGGGTCGATCTGAGACAATTTTTTTTTCGGGGCTCAAAAAAAGGCAGTGTATAACCTTCCTTTTTTACCAAAAATCGACTACACCAAAATTTCTCGGGAAAACACTTTTTCTTATTAATTTGGGTGCGTAGAATCCAAATCAATTCGTACTTTTTCGATCAGACTTCTCAATCAAAAGTTATAGACTAGAAACCAATTTCGAAAAAAATTCAAAGGGCTGTAACTTTTGAACTAGTAGCCCAATCTTGGAACTGTTTGAAATTATGGATTCTACAGGCCACATTCTATAAGAAATTTTTTTCCCGGGCCGATCTGAGACAATTTTTTTTTCGGGGCTCAAAAAAAGGCAGTGTATAACCAGGGGCGCACTGGTCCGGGGGGGTGGGTGGCGATTGCCACCTGGCCTGTAGATCATAATGGCCCGTTGGAAATTTGTAAGTATGTGCTGTATTTAGTTTCTTGCACTATTAATAAATTATTAACATGATTCTCTAATTGGGGTTGATGTTAGGTTGTTAAAAAATTCTGTTTTAATTGAAGTGTTTTACAATGAATTTATCATTTTTTGTCGTAGTATTTTGAAAGTGCTGAAATACAATGATAGGCGACGCACCTCGTGTGGATTGTATATTTTGTTACTTTTAATTATCAGCTGCAATTAAAAAAAAAACTGTATGGTAATTGATTTTCGAGAAAGGAGTACGTTAAAATGTTTTTGTGGTGCACCTCAGAACTAACTACTACACTAATACTTTAATGGCCCGTAACCTATGCAATTCCACCTGGCCCGCAGTTACCCAGTCCGCCCCTGGTTTAGGGGATATAGAATACCCTCCCCCCTACACAAAGGTTTTATAACAGTTGCAGGGAAATTTGTTTTCTTTTCCTGATACCTCCTAGATCCCTGGTTTGATTTTGTTCATCCTTAACACTATGTTTTTTGAAAAGGGTCGAGGAAAGAGTCCTTAGGGCTGAACGTTTTGAGGTAGAAATCTTAAAAATATTTTTGTTCAATGGGAAAATTAGTTTAATAAAATTATCTATAACAGTTTCCGAAAATCGGGCGACGGTCGTTGTGAAAGACCCTGTATATTATTATTTATTACCTACATATTTCAATGGAACATGAACAAAGTTACCTCATGTCTGCACCTTAAATTTTTTAATTTTAATCTAGCGTATCATGAGCATGTTCAAACAATCATTTTTAGACGCGAAAGCTTGGAAAAATTGATTTGATTCATTTTAGTCTATGCAAATATTTTAAAAAACAAAAAACGCCCAAATTTTTCCAAGCTTCCCGATTAAGAAAACTGACTGTCATGGCACACTAAATTAAGATTTCGAAATTTAAATATTTTTAGATTAAAACGTCAGAAGTGGACATGAGAGTACTATCGAAACATGTAATACACAGAGGGTCCCATTTAAAATTCAAACATTGTTATCATTTCGGGTGCAACTAGGAATCTCAAAAATTGTTGAATACGGATTTGAATTCATATCTATAATCATTTTGTTCAGCATAGAAAAATGTACGCATGTGCCGCTTCAGAGCGAACGTGAACAAAGATATGTCTGGCGATAACAAGAGCGGGTTGCCCGATTAAAAACTAGTACAAACTGTGAAATGTGGGAAGAATGCTCTTGTAAAGTTCTCGAGAATTTATGGGAAATATTCGCCTAAATTTCCGATGTGCGAATATTCCCGAATATCTCCACAAATATTGCAAAATTCGCTTGGAAATATTCGCGCCCCACACCACTAATTGTGATAGACAGAGAAGATCAACAGACCTGGACGGATTATCGCTTAGTTGACTGCCGTGCCACAGGCGGAGCTCGCATAGAAACCTATTAAAATAAGTAAAAGAAAAACTTAAGATTTTCCCTATCCTTTGGTAAAAACGAAATTAAACTATCTTTATTACAGGCTACTCGAACCCTGTATTATGTGTAAACTCAATGAGATTTGACAACGTTGATTTATTTTTGAGGTCTAAGCTTCTGGGGATCCGCCCTGCTTGGCTGGAAACTAATTTTTGACATAATTTTGGTTTTTAAAAACCAAGGGTGCCTTCGAAATGTTCAACAAAAATTGCGGAACTATTAATGATAATTGATATACCTACTATATATAGCACAACCGACGCGTCCGCCATTTTGGAGCCTACTGACAATTGACGCTTGCCAAACGTTTCATGTCCTGCATGTATTGTCTTATTGTTTAAAGAAAAACCATTGATTTTTTAACGTTTATAAGTACATGACCTTACAGTTTTTTGTGCAGATTTCGATTGGTCTTGGTAGAGGTTGATGGGAGAGGTCCCCAATATTTTCAAAATTGTTCTTTGACTACATTTTCTGATCTTTTTCTAACTTCACTGCGCCCCCAAAAATTTCTATGTCACTTTTCTAATCTCTAGATCCTGGAAAGCACCTGAAAGAGTCTGGCAAGTATCAGAAAGCTTTCAAGATCCTTCTGGGTGCCTTTCAGAGCCCTTTTTAATTTCAGAGCTGTTTAAAAGTAGGCATAAGCATAAACAGATTCACATTTAATGTTGAATGGCTTAAACTTTAAGAAAAAAACTACTGTAGTAAGCTAGTAAAAAGGCATATCCCCCTCACTGGCTCATTTCCCTTACAATTTGGGAAAAACACAGGGTTTAGGGGAATAGGTCATTAACAAATAGGTGTACAGTCAGAATGTACTTAGATACAGAGTTTAAACTTTAACATTTAGAGCCCAAATTCGAGCTTAGAGTATCCTACATGCCACCCTTCTGCCCCTTCGTAATCACCTACTTGTACAACCGGAAAAATGTGAACACAATCTAAGCCTTGAATTTGGTGCGGTTCGATTCTGTGCGGGCAATTGAGCTTTGGCAAGACCGCGACGATCTTTTCAGTTAAAGCTCTAAAACATAAGCGGTGTAGGTATAAATTTTGATAAGGATTGAAAGTTACATTTTTTGTCCAATCGTGGAATTCTCTTGGAATAACAGATCGACATCTACATCAATACTGCACGATTCGATACACCAAGTCATTCCGCCGATTATCTTATCGAAAGGTGAAAGGCCCTTAATTCGTGCCCGAAAGTATCCGGCAGCTACCAATAGATCGAGTATCTCCTGAAGCTTAACCGACTGCTCCTCGTCTTCGCGTACTTCGACCTAAAATCGAGTGGCGAGTTAAAAGAAATTGCGGTAAAACAAGCGAAGAATCTACTTCCACTTCGTTTCCATCGCCCGCTTGTCTGACGGAGGGTTTTTTAACGTTACGAAATTTTTGATGGATATCGGGATTAACTGTGGCCATGGTTGGGGAGATTTTCGCTGGAATTCTACATAATTTCTGAAAAGTTTTAAATACCTAACCGTAAAAGATGTGAAACAAGTCAAAAGGGGGTGGACATTGAACTTTTGACGATAAGAGCAGGTTTGCCAACTTGATATCATCAATCCACTGCAACAAGATCATAGAGCGACAGAAGTAGCAAAGTTGTTTCAAAGTTTGCAGTACAGCATATTGGTGGCGTGGCAGTCGTTTTTATGAATCCGAACCCTATTCACTTTTTTCCACTGATTAGCGTCACAAAAATCCTTTTGTTAAAATACTTCTTTTAATCATAAGCCCCTATTTAATATCTTTTTTTTCTTTCAGAACGCAAAAAAGGGATATGGAGCTCGCGTTCGATCCCCTTGCTAATGCGTGTTACGAATTTAAACTAAGTTATTAGAAACTCTGAATATGAATATTGCATTATTTTATTGTAATTTATTGTAATGAAACATAATGTTTTCCAGAATCGTTTTTATTTTTTACTGAAGTTATTTGAAAAGACATTTCAAAATAAATAACACATTATTATGGGCACTTTTTTCCCTCCACAAGATGCTAGTTTTAAATTTTAAGTTTCGTCTCCGGTTAATCAGCAACTTTGTTTTTTCTTATGGAAGTCATTTTTACTTTTTGTGTCATATTTGATAGATTTAGATTTCAAAAATGTAAATATCACTATTTTTTAAATATTGTTAAAATATCTTCTTTTTTGCCTGGGCAATTGTCTTGAGTAGTGTATGTTCGTAGTTTCTTGCGTTTTTACGAATTAATAGCGCCATTTCTTATTAAAAAATAATGATATTCACATTTTTGAAATTAGAAAAAAATGCTCTACAGTACGAATAATAAATGGTTTTGGATATAGGGATGATTGCCGAATGACTTTTATTGACCTAAAAATATTAACCTTACCAGATAGAATGATCTATTCGAAAGATAATCTTCATCAATTTAAATTGCAAAGTGATATAGGTACATCATCATTTCCCAAGATCCCGAACTAACATAAGGCCAAATTATTACCGTTTAGCCAAGACGCAAAATGGACTAGTGTATGTACGTCTCCCAAAAACTTCATCTTCCAACGCAAATAAAAGAGTTGACTAGACTACAACTAAAAAAGAAATTAAAAGAAATACTATTTAAAAAAGCATATTACGCTATTGAAGAATTCAAATATATATCTAGTCTCATATAAAACCTGTAAATTTATTTTATTTTATGTACACTTTATTTATTCCACTAAATGGTAACTCGTGCCTTGATGCTTATCAGTTTTGTATGTTCGTCCCATCATATGTCGTTTGTTTTTTATTACATCCTTGTGTCACATATACGATAAGTACAAGCGTAAGCTAAATTATTATTATTAATTTATCTAATCAAAATTTTAATGTGTACCTAGTGTGCGTCCATAGTTCGCATACGTTTTTAAACTATTTTTATTTATATTTATTGAAAATTTGTAGTTTATATCTCGAATTTTGCTTTTTCTATATTTACGTTATTTACATTGTACATTATTGACATGTCAAAGCCACATTTGGTAATTCTGACAATAAATGATTTGATTTGACACGTCAGTCCGTTCTTTTTTTTTAAATTTTAATCAATTGTCACCTTTTGGTAGTTAAGCGTTATTAAAGGTAATTACATTGGGGTAAAAATAAGACGAGTGCAAAAATCACTATGTAATTACTTAGCACAATAAAATGAATGAATAATGACCCCCTACTTTAAAAAAATACTCGCTTTAAAGCACCAAGAATCCGAATCAAGAACAAGGGCAAAATTGGGTGTGCGCTAATTTGTGAAAGTAACAAAAAACTGTTAGTATTTGACGTTGTTCCATATTATGACTAAACTCCTACGCGATCAAAAATGGTTTGCCGTGGAGTCGCAACTTTGGAATGTTTGTTTACGTGGGCAATCATACTTGAACATAGATCATATAGAAAAGGGGGTAGAAGAAACGAAGAAAAGCAGACAAGAAGTATTGCACGAAGTAGGAAAGAGAGAGAACAGAATGAAGATTATAGGAAAACGGAAAATAAAGAAACAGGAAGCCAACACAGAAAGGGAGGTGAAGATGAAGCTAGGATGGACATGAGGAATTTTTAGTTTGTGCAGTAGGTAGGTATTATTACGCATTTATTGTTTTACCAAAAAAGCGTCAAATTTAATAATAGATTACATTCTTTGTACATAAGAGAAAAATGAAACCCGACGAACTCCAACATGCATCCTCTTTTGGACGTCCGCTTATATTGCCATTGATTAGTCGCCTCTTACGACATGCAGTGTCCCTGCAGTAGGAATATTCTACCCCGTTCCTACACGGGGATGACAAAGTCAGTAATAACCAACATGCAGTTCCTCGACACGCACAAGTGTAGAAAATAGTTATTTATTATGCAAGACGAGATAAGGATGTTTTTACGAGATGTTAGTTTCCCTTTATCGTCGTGTATAATACAAAATACTTTATTTTATAGCACAAGCCATACAGGGTGGTGACTTGCGTAACGCATCATAGGGATTTCAATGTAAAATTCATGACATGCGATTATTGGCTCCCCAAATTATTTTAGAGCAAAAATGTATTGTTTTTTTGTAGAAAAAAATTTTTACGTCAATCAACCGTATTTTTTTGCATAATAAAGACGGAAAATTGGAAAAATAAAACCCCCATCTTTTTCAATAATCTGTGACGCCATGGAATTTTATAATACAAAAACTACGCCAATATCAGACATGCCATGGAATGTCTGCTATAAAACAAATCAAATTCTATCAAAAAGTGTTCTATTTGGAACAGCGAATTCAATATAAAGAAAGACCAAATTACTAAAAACGGTTTCCTAATATAACAATTTACAGTAACTGTTCGAATAAGTCACCATTAACTGCAAGGCAGTAACCAAGTCAATCATAAAATCCATTTAGATCTGCTGCTAATTGATAACTGGATATCTTTTTGTTTTAGAATATTCCATGGCATCGCAGATTATTGAAAAAGATGCGGGTTTTATTTTTCCAATTTTCCGTCTTTATTATGCAAAAAATTGAAAACTAATACGGTTGATTGACGTAAAAAAATTTTTTCTACAAAAAACCTTAATACATTTTTGCTCTAAAATAATTTAGGGAGCCAATAATCGCATGTTATGAATTTTATATTGAAATCCCTATGATGCGTTACGCAAGTCACCACCCTGTATAAATCATTATAAAACTTCTGAAAATTTTGAATTTAATCGAGACGTAAAAAATAACAAGCTTTAGGTTACCCCGCCGTTTCTATGGAAATAATATTGTTTTCGGTACTGACTGACTTCATTTTAAAAAATATTCTACAAGTTTTTCTTGAAAAATGCATAGTTTTGCCATTATTTGACTGTGAAACTTGACTTCGGTCGTGAATAACTGGAGTATTAACTTTCCAAAAAAAATTGTCACCCCGCGTTGGGGTGACAACCGCCCCCAGGGTGAAAGCGCCCTTTGGCACGATATAGATTTTGATCCTTAGGCTATTTCTTCAAAATTTCAAGTTAATCGATCCATATTGGAAAAATTGCCGGGCAGCGTATTGGCATTCTGTACTATTATTCAGAGCAGCTCTGGTCTGATTCGCAGTATACTATGGCTTCACATTATGCGCAATTTGATAATACATTATATACTGCGATTCAGATCACCGATATGGTTTAGAGTTCTGAAACACTGTATATAATGGGTTTCTATAAAACACATCATACACTTACAAAAAGTGTGTTTTTATTGTTCCCTTTGCAAGAAAAAAGTATATTTTTTGTTGTTTGTGTGTAATCAAGGTTCTCAAACTGCACTAAAATGATCTATAAAGAGGCATTGGTTGAAATGTGCCACGAGAATAAGTTTTCAATGATCGTATATATTTGGAACTAGTAGAACATGGATTTAAAGCGAAATTTAAAAAAAGCGGGTGAAGATATTAACAGTGTTTGGTGCGACAAGTGCTTAGCTGATTTTAGTAATAAAACAAACACGACACCGAGCACTAAACCATATCGGCGCTCTGAATCGCAGTATATAATTTATTATCAAATTGCGCATAACGTGAAGCCATAGTATACTGCGAATCAGACCAGAGCTGCTCTGAATAATAGTACAGAATGCCAATACGCTGCCGGGCAAAACCTTCGTTTCCTGTACTTACTATTGGTTTTAAGTATTTGAAGGATAGAAGCGGGTTGTTAGGGAAAACGCCATTGTTTTTGCTAACGAATCAAATAAGATAAAAATAGATCCATTATATTTTTCACTACTAGCGTCTGATGACATGATTATTAACCTTTTTCCACTTGTAAAGTAGGCTTTCTCGGCAATTGTTCAAAGTGGTTAATAATGTGGACATTATTAACTAGTAGTCAATAATGAGAACTGTCACGCTGTCACTTTTAAAAAACACAACCACAAATTTCGCTGAATAAACGTTTGGACAAGTTCTCTAAAATGAATAATTGCCACCATCCGCCATTTCTCGAGAAATTACATACCTAAAATTATCACATTTTGAAAAAATTTGAACGAAATTACTCTTTGAAAATATTTCAATGACAGAACAAAATACGGCCTGTTTGACTTGTACTTCTACGTACTTGATTGACATGTTAAATTAAGAAACAAACAATTCTGTCCAACCGTTCACTTTCTTATCAATATAATATGTTAATTTAGAGGATTTCAAGTGCTAGTAGTGAAAAAATAGTATATATACCACGGTAGAGAAGTCTATTATTGCCTTCGTCTATTATTGCCTTCGCACCTTACACCCCTCGGCGCAAGCGCCTCGTGATGTAATCTTGGTGCTCAGGCAATAATACTGTACTTCTCTACCTTGATATATAATGTACTATT